TCCTTAACTGAAAATCGCCAAGGAATTCCAAAGATAAGTTTTTCTGAAAAATGTGTTTCATGATCGCTCCTTAACTTAACAAAGGAGCTCTTTAAATTTAAGGAACGTTCATGAAACCGGGTCCCTGCTGATAACGTAATCATTGGATTAGCTTAAGGCGTCTCGTGTGGTTCCCTGTGTATCTTGTAATCTCATGAGACAGAACGTATTACCCAAACATTGTGTCCATAAAAACATGTCAGTACATTGATTTCTCTTGTTTGATTAGGTTTGAAGGAATTTTATGACTGCAAGTACTGAAGCTATCTTTACTGTTTCACCACAGCAGGGAAAATATCTTCTGTATAAGAAGTTCTGAAATTGTCGAGTATTTTTTGTTTATTGTTTTAAGCGATACAGGGACAGAGATAATAAAATCATCTTTCGATTTGTGAAAAGAAACTGTATGGATACGCCCCTTTACACAAGAAAACAACAAACTGGTTACAAACTGCATAAGGTCTCCGAGATTGCCCGTCTCTGCAATAAGCAGCAGCAATTGTAGAAACTATTTTAACAAATTTTAACCTATTGATCTACCACAGGGAATCGTATACAGTACTGCCTTGTTGATTCAGGAAAGACAACACAAGAAGAGAATACCGAAAAACTAGGGCAAACCATTGTAACCTGGACTAGCATCGCTGATGTCAAGAATGGAACAAACACAAGATATACACTATTGCATACGTTTATTACACTTATTAATCATACACATATATAAACTTATCGTACAACTGTCTTACATCTATCATACACATACATATTCATACATGCAGATTGAACAAAATACAATTCATAGGGTACTGCACAACAACTCTAGACAGCTTAATCGACCCTGGGGGTAACATCTTTGACAGCTCATCTTGCCTACACAGGACTACGACAATACATGTATACAGTTGCCCACATAGGACATCTTTTAAATAGTTGCCCACAAAAGACTGGTCATTTTGGTTACTTGTCTGTGCTAGATCACCAATGTCTATCTGCCCTCACACCAACATGGATTAGAGCTGTAACGACATAAACAGCTATATCTAACTATCGTACCCTAATTATATTGTACCCATTCCATAGTAACATATGTATGTATACATCAAGTTTCCATTATCAATATAAATTGTATTAAGCGTCTTTCATTGTTAATATTTGTCATTATATATAACTATTAAGAATTAATACAATCCGTATCAAGCTTATACTCATAAAACTTGCTAACTCAACTACACCAGTTGTTAATTAAGGTAAATTCAACACTTCTGAAACTCTGTATCAGACCTATACATGTAATCCATTTATATTTCAATTTCGACTCAAGTTAGACTCAACATAATTACCAAATGTTACCTGTTTCATTTGCCGATGAAATTGAACAGATTAACATTGTCTGTGCATATGAATACATATTTTCAGATTTTGCAAAGGGAGATAACTATTTGCATCTTTAAATTTACATTTTTATTGAAGCAACACAATGAATTATTTAAGCAACCAAAAACAATCAATCAGCAAAATATTATCATATGTTGTTAGCGGTAGAGACAATTCATGACTGCCCTAGAAATTATCCCTCCAACTAACCATTTTGCCTCTTGTGTCAGTGTCAACCCCCGGTACAAATCGAAAACAACGTGGATCACACATCCATGTGGTCACGTCATATAGGAAATTCAGCCAACTGCCATGTCAAATTTTTTCGTCGTTTCAAGTCACGCCTGGTTTTCTATCTAATTCGACATTCAATTACTGCAGCTTCAAATTCAAGCAGATATATTACCTCGAAATTTAGCGACTCTCATGATCAACTTCTAGCTAGTAAAAAGATGGCTATAATAGACTCGCAGCTGAGCCTGAGCACCGCGTCTAGACATTATTCTGCCTTCATAATTTGGCAAAATTGAACTATCAGCGTACACCATCATGCTGTATGATTGTCCTTCAATGAAGGACTATATTCTTTTACAAAACGTCAATAGTAGACATGCACAAGTCCCAAATCAGGGACAAACTGTCAGAATGTACTTTTAATAATTAAAGTTCAGCACTAGTGATAACTATCTAGATTCACAGATACATACCTGACAATGGCTTCAAAGGGCATATTTTGGCAAGTTTAGTGGCATATAAGAGCGCTACAAGTTTCTGCTTGCCGATTGTGGCTGATTAAGTTGTGTGAGTCCTTAAAACCGAATCCACATAAAATCGTTATTATCATAAATATGATAAATAGTTACAAAATTGATAATGCAATGTAGAACAAAAGTATATACTGACAACAATTGAATCTTTACTGAATCTACAGAAAAAGTGGTTGATACTGATGACATATACTAAATATGTAAAAACTATTGTTGGGACTGTGACAACTATGCGAAAGAAAACATTTACATGTATACCCATGAAAGAGTACAAGGCGAATAAGACCAGGTGTTCCGGAAGGGTAAGCGTCTTCAGCTTCATCGGTGAAACCCACCATGTAAATCTAAGTCGAAACGAAGTAATGTCACGTCCTCACAACGAGAACCCGATTAGTGACAACAAACCACAAGGCATTCTGATACTACACCGTAGATGGGGGAGCTATCGAGAAAGGGAAAGTTCACGATAGGAAAGTGAAATCCTTCCGCTTATCATACAGCTTAGTAGTTGGCCGTCCCTTTTGGTCATGTTGCAAGTGAAGATAGCGAAAAGCGGCTGAAGTTGAAGAGTCTGTGGTATCCATGATTTCAAGCACTGGAGGTTACATATACAGTTCATCGTCGATATATATCTGAACGTGGCATTAAAGGGCTTTTTGTCATGTCACCAGTATCATCTAATCAGACACGTGGTTATAAAGATGAGGTACAATAATATGATTAGTTCACGATGACCTTCACTCAAAATGTCAATACATCACAAAACGTTTACAAAATTTTGCCTGGGCTGTACAATTTATACGAGATATTTTGAGTGCATTGCACTATATTTTGGTTCTCTGTGAGTTTCTCTTCTTGTACATGTACATCACCATATTTAGTGACAGTTGAGATAGGATAAAGTTGAAATTCACAGACAAATATTCGGGGGAGATCGGTGATGTGATATGTCGAGGTCCGAAATATGGAAGTGGTAAAAAAAGCTAGGTGTCTGTGAGATTTCTGAAATATTGCCTGAACCTTTCCGGGGGTCTAATGACTAGGGTGAGTGGCATTGATCGGGGGCAGATTTGCACCAATACTTAGGAAGCAAACGTAACGGGGCTGAATAAGATCGTGCTGGTTTCCCTCCCTTATAATATCGGTGTATCGCAATCTGCATTCACCATATAGTCAAAGGTGACCAGTGTTGAAAAATATCTCAAAAAACTTGACAGAGACCACTTATAGAATGGAAGTTGCGGTGATAAACCCGTTACAATATTTAGTGTCAGTCATGTATATGCGCATCCATTCTATCAAAACAATTTGTGTCACCAATGTCAATATGGGCGGGCCAGTTTACCCTTACCGACCAAATTTCTTCAAATGTCACGGACAATTTATGTACAAAAGGAGGGGGTAAACTGCTATGTGTTTTCATAGTGTCACTGCGTTTTGTGATAAGTTGACATAAGATGTAAACAACACAGAGGGAAACGATACAATAATGCACAGCTTGTGAAATATACTAACACACTTACTATAGAGTATCAGCCAAGGAGGAGGGGCGATTTACAAATGTAAACGAATTTAAATGAGAAATGGCAAACCAAAGTGCTCACGTTTATAAAATTACCAACTGTATGCAATAAATAATACTAAATGTTTTGACATTTTGGTGCTAAACAATAGCAAATAAAGGATTAATAAATTATTTGAGTAGATCTTCGTCATAACTTCCTTGTTAGTTATGTCAAGTTCGCGATACTTACGTAATGTAGGCTTCTTGTTGATCGGTAGGAATCGGCTATCATATATTGGAGAAGAACTAATGAGAACAGAAAGATAACTCCTGCTAACTGGTACACCCGGCGTTTTGTTAAAACGTGCGCGCGGTTTGGTAATCCGTGCGCACGGTTGGTTAATCCGTTCGCACGGTTTTGGTAACTCGTGCGCACGGCTTGGTATCTCGTGCGCACGGTTTGGTCATCCGTGCGCACGGGTTGGTAACTCGTGCGCACGGTTTAGTAATCCGTGTGCACGGTTTGTTAACTCGTGTGCACGGTTTAGTAATCCGTGCGCACAGTTTGTTAAGTCGTGCGCACGGTTTGGTAACTCGTGCGCAAAGATTAGTAAATGTTTTACCATGTCCCTTCGGGGGCTCCGTAGCTGAAACAACTCCGACACGGAGCATTATCCTGAAAAGTTTAGGGTCAATTTGGAAAATGTTTAGCGATACCAGTCCACAAATAATTATTCCAAACAGGACTATATGTATCTGAGTTCACGTTTCCATCAACAAAAGTAATCGTTCCGAATCCCTTGAGTGTAATGCAAATCTTGATCATGATAGACGCATGACACTTACTTTACCAGTCTGATACCTCGCCCATGCACTCCGGTCTCCACCGTTCGTCCCTGTGAACTTACTTTTGGCCCACAACTATATATGTATAATGCGCGCTGGGGGCGGTTTGTTAATGAACTTGACTCCCTGGATAGCGCCGGTCTGATGTCAACTTTAAGAGTGCTACTTCGCTGAAATATCATGCCAATGGCACCCATCACAGTATTCCAGCCGGTCACATTATACTGAAAACAGACAAAACATTTCTTTTCGCTAAACATTAAAAGCTGAACGTCAAGCAGAGATTGCACGTAACAGTTTTTAGGACTTCGAATTATCATTCCTGACCCCCGATCTGGGGACAGAGCATACCTTCCTTTTCTGGACATTGTATCTGTTGTTGACACTGACTTTAGAAAAGTGCCGTCATCATTTTTTTCATTAGATTTTTTTTTTGGCGGTTTGATAATTTACTATTTCTCATCTTGCAGGAAGGTGGATTTTATGTCGAATGCGGAGGACTGAACGGAGAAAAGGGATCGAATACTCTATTCTTTGAGAAAGTAAGGAAATGGAATGGGCTGCTAATTGAAGGCGATCCGTCAAACTACGCCATGTTGAAGTCAAAACACAGGAAGGCGTTTTCCATGAACGCATGTCTGTACCCATACACATTTCCCGCTGAGGTAGATATCAAAACCAAATACCAAAAATCTGTAAAGTTTGTATTTAACCACCAAGATAAATATTCGCGCTGATATTTACAGTATATATAAAATTGTATAAAAGTGGAAATTTTCTGGTTGTGGGCATTCTCTCGTTTTTCGCTTTAAGTAAAGGTTGAGTAAATTAGCGCGAAAAATATCCGCATACCAAATATGGAAATGTACAAATTATAAACATTTTATACCGTAAATATACATTTCAAAACCATTGAAAATGCGGACATTTCCAAATCGCGATCAGATAGAAGTCACAACGCGAACAGTTCAGTTTTATTAGTTTAATAGAATGGTAGAGTGGTGGATTCTTGAAATAGGGGATGAATGATCAAGATGGCATCCCCCAGTATATATTCTTTTTAAAGAAATTTTAAAATGCAATACTTTGTCGATAGTTTATAAGTCTTCAAGGGGCTCAGAATTGTGCTTATAAAGTGTGTGCACTCCGTAAACATTTGATGCCTTACAGTCATACGCACTTAATTGTCATTTCATTTTATAAAACACTTTTATTTGAAAGGACCGAATAAAATTCCTTGTCATATATCATAAAAACATTTTTCATCCGAAAAAAGTGCAATGTTTCATTCACGCTATTTGTCATTATCTAAAACAACAGCAGATATACGTGATTAAACCTGCCGCATTTGGCGCCCCAGAAACTTACTTTCTAAAGACTGCTGCACTTCTCAATTTTTTAACAACAGTAAAGAGAAAATCCATAAACAAAACTTCTAGGCACTCATACTTTCAAATCGCACGATATACCCCAATTTCACGTAAATGTTCAATATCATTTGGCAAATTGATTGTACGAAACAATGTTATTATATCGGGCACGTCTTATTGTGCTCGAATCTGTCTAAAATCGGCACATTCTATCAATATTTGAGGCACAGTCATATGCTTGTTTCATGATTGGCGATAGAGATGATCCTCTCGCTTAATAAGTTACGCATGGTTACCACCCCGGTTGTCTCTTTGAGGTTTTGATACTATCTGAATTTTATCAAGATTCAAAAGTTTAATGCTATTGATGTAGTAAATAGAGTCTTTATCTTTCCGAAATTTCTGGCCTTCTTTCATTTCTACTTACGCGGGGACATTCAATAAATCTTTCGTAAATATTTTCCTTAGAATTCAGATTGCATTTGAGTTTGACAATCGTTGTTTTCCGATCAGAGGAGTTTACCATGTTCACTATATATTAGATATTCTTGAAAAAAAAATCAACTTTTTTTTTTAATTCTTTTTTTTCAATCTATTTTTCTTGAGGATATTATATATCTCAGTTTTGCACCACGTATGCAGTCAATCTTCTTTCGATTCTTGTTCTTAAGGTAAATTATCACCAGGCGTTCAACCTAGGCCGGATCATGCACGCCGAGTCGGTTGCAGCCTGGAACAAACATAATAGAATCAAGGCTGACCCAGCTCAGGTACCATGCATTTATGTTTCTTTGTTAGGGAGTGGGATAGGAAATGGGTATAACTGACTGTACAGATGGGGCACACGATATTGATGTTCAGCATCCTTGTAGGTTCGTGGAAAGAATAGTCCTGCTGTGTTCTACTACATGTCATAAGACGCGACTAATTCGGGGCCCCTGCAGAATCACGATATGTGTGTGACTTCCGCTTATGGGACATTAAGCAACAAAAAATAATCCGCTGCTTTATTGCAAAACTTGGGATCTACATATTATATTTACTCAACTCTCCACGTTGTCTTTTCGGCGGCTTCTCCATAGGCACAATATTCATATTTCCTTAGCTGTAGCGAGTTATTTGATATGAATTGGTCAATGAAATTCCGTCCTGTTATTTATTGATAACTTGGAATTTTCATATGGCAAAAAATTGTTATTACAAAGTTCAACATACTGACAGCAGATAAATAATGGTCATAGTTAACGCTTTGCAAAGATTTATTGTTTTAATATGGGGTATAAATATATATCGATCAGGCAAACACAACACATACAGTATTCCAGCGCATGCAATTTCGGGCTTTAGAAGTTTAATTCATAAGAAAAACCCAGGCAAGCAAATGTTGTTGAAATTTCAGTGAGATACACCAACATACCCCGTCTCTGGCACACGCACGCATTCATAACATACATGGAGGCATGTCCTTGAATAACCTTAGCTGTCAATAGGACGTTTAACAAAATAAAACCAAACCCAAACCAAATTGGGAGACTTATCTCTTCAATATAGAATATGAAGCAATCAAAGGGAGTTTTTCTTTCTTAGATTCACCCCATCCCAACCCCATCCCCCACCCCACCACCACCACCGCCACCACACACACACACTTTTGGGGCACTTTTTATATTGTAAAAGTGTATGCTTAGCAATACAAAGGTCTCATGTTCGACTCATGCAGTTTTCTATTTCATTTCAAACGTTAGAACTTTGAACAACTCTAGTTCTGTACAATTGATGGCAAATTGATTTTATGAATAGTGAATATGGTAATACGATAGTTTTATTTAGTTGATATCCTTTACTTCTAACAAAGTAAAACCAAACGAAACTTAACTGGGTTACACTTTGCATGAAATATTTATTGGTTGGTTGTACAGTGTTTAACGTTCTTTCAACAGATCAGATCATATAAGGACGTTCATCAAAGAAGGAGAGCTATCAGAAGAAAAAAATTATTGACGGATGCTTCCGCTCATTTAAACGTTTTCAAATTTTGAGTGTTACACGCACTACTCTTGAATTATTTTACTTAAAGATTGAATCTGCAATCGCAAACTGACTTTGGTACATTACCGCTATAGGTATATGGTAAAAGTATGTCACACCGTGAAAAATCTGGGGAAATCTAGCTTGAAATCTTATAGTTTTGTTTTCAAACATGTCTTCAAATCTTTAAAGTCTTTATTTTTATCTTTCTGAAGTGTTAAAATATTTTAACTCCTGATTACGGTGTTTTAGAACTCTAAGGAATCTTGCGTAATTCTTTTTCGTATCCAGGTACAATGCTTTCCAATCTATTCCGTTTTATTGGCCATGAACCGGACGACAGTCGATTTCTTCAGTCTAGACATTGAGGGGGACGAGCTTGGAGTGCTAAAGACGATACCATTCGAAAAAGTTGACATCAAAATGTTAGCTGTTGAATATTCTCATGGACCTGGTGGATATCATGCTTTGCAAACATTCATGGAAAAAAAAGGATACGAGACATTACTGAAAATGTCACGTGACGATTGGGGTGTAAACGACCTCATCTTCAGAAAGAGAGGGCTAAAGCACTGAGTCCAAGACTCTGGTATTTGTAATTTCACTTACATGAAATTATAGCAAGGGGGCAAATACACCAACATATTATAGTAGCATTTTTCGCTTCCGTGGCCGCGGCAACCTTTTGATAATCTTTCGAAGTATAAAAATACTGATTGCTGCATATGAAGGAACGGCGTAAGGTTCGGTTTAAGATTCAATTAACTCATGAAGTGAAAGATCAATTCTCAGCGAAACCAAAAGCCATAGAGGAATTTCAATTGTTGAAAGTTATTTGATTGTGGCCATATTAATTTGGGAATGTGCTGCACCCATTGGAATATTTAGGATCTTTATCTCTCTTTCTATTTTAACTACCTTCAATTTCCTAGCGCCTTGCTTGGCAATACCTCACCTTTGGCTTTAATGTTGAGCGTGCGCTCAGGTAAGAGGCAATGGGTTCTGTCCCCAGGCATTATATAGTGGAATAATGCAATTATAGAATTCATACATGATAAATTATCACTCGGTAAATAGTGCGCACAATATATATATATATATATATAAATATATGTATATTATATAATTACTAATAACTAATCATTGTTGTTCAATGTATGTCAATAGAACGGACATCTTTCAAATTACAGTAGAAACTGCAAAAGTCGACCGAATATAGTGATAAAATCTACACCAGTTACGAAACCTTGGTCGCACATTGGGTACAGATTCATGAGGCGACCATCACCAAGTACTGCTGTGATGCGTGAACATGTTAAAAAACGTTTATATCAAGGGTTATTATTTTCTTATCTGTTCTGTTTTCTGTGTAGTACCCTGTGGAACTGTGGTGGACTGTGACTGTTAGTGTTTTATAGTTTGCCTATTGTTTCCAGTGTGAAAAATCGCGTCGCGTAAGCACTGTAAATCGTGTCGTGATCGTGGAATAGACTGATTTTGGACACATGCGTTAGGTAACGCAGGAGCCGAGAGGATTGCGCATACTACGAAGTTTGTTTGGTTGGGGCGGGGCGTAAATCACCTATTACGTTTCAACTACATTTTTTGCCATGTTTAATGTAACGCAACGTGCTTTTCCGCTTCGTCGTGAAAGGGGACATTTTTCGGAATCTGGAATGTATGGTGCGTTTTTTCATCATTAGCCGCATTATCAAACTGAATACTGTTTTATTCTTTTCCGACAAGGCACATTTTTTGTAAGGACAATGTCATTTGATTTCATGTCTCGTAATTTACTATAATACATCATCAAATATTCGATTTATTCAAAATGTGCTGAACATTTACCTAAGGGAGAAATAACCGATTTTTTTTTTATTTCCGCCCGATTTAAAGGAAAGCGCTCTTTTAATAAGTTACAATTATTTCCGTGAAAACCTAAAGAAAAACAGATTACAAAGATTACTTTACATATCTCAAATATCTTACCATTTCCTCATAGCAACACGTTAGATCCACACCGGGCTTCTTACATCCTGCATATAAGGGTTCGGAGAAAAGTTTGGTCAATTTTCCGATCACTGATCATAACGAAAGCTTTGACGACATTTGTCACGTCATTTCCACTTTCGTAATTCTTGTTCTTAAATATGTGCGCGGTTTTACAGCTTTTTTTTCCAGCGGCTGGTCCAGTCTATGTTTATTTGTTTAAACATATTTTATTGCAAAAAATGCAAGAGGATTGGGCACAAGTTACATGAACATTATTTACGCCCTTTCCTTATAAGATAAATAATTGTATATACACATCATAAGATGTTACGCGTTACATGCGTATTTTTCACATTTTCGAGCTTGTTATATGAAACATTTTTTTATGTTGTGCTACACTTTCCATTATTTTCATCAGTCAAGTAATCGTGAAAAAAACTTTCCTCTGATATATACAACTAGAACACTGACAGGTCAGTAAGGGCCCCGTCTTGTGGCAATATATCCCCCATAATCATCAAGAAGCAATCTGCCTATATAGCTGAGCTTGACGTTTGACATTTGGACTTCAAAAAGAATCGCAAGGAAGCAAAATATATATTTTACATGTACTATGATTTGAGTCTCGTTTCCTTCCACCTCCATATTTGCTGGGCTAACAGAAATGTAAATACCGGTGCAATACTCATTTGTTAGCTTTGATTTGTTTTATTTCACCTTATATACCTCCTACATCAAGAGCCAGGGTTAGAGATCCACTTTGTCTTTGACCTTTGGACCCAAATGACCATTAACCTACTGACCCTGAACTTTGGTCAGTTGACTTATTCTTTGATTCCGACCAACTTTGCTTCTTGATATCATACCAAAATGTTCATCAGTGAAAAGCTACAAAATTTGACCTTGACCCCTGACCCACTGACCTTGACCTTTGGTCAGTTGGCTCCTTGTTTCATTCTGATCAACTTTGCTTCATAATGTCATAACGAAATGTTCACCAGTGAAAAGCTACACAATTTGACCTTGACCCCTGACCTGATGACCTTGACCTTTGGTCAGTTGGCTCCTTGTTTCATTCTGATCAAATTTGCTTCATAATGTCATAACAAAGTGTTCATCAGTGAAAAGATGCATATTTGACCTTGACCTTTGAACCTAATGAACATGACCTTTGACCTTGATATGTATTTTTGTGAACTGAACATCTTGACCAGTTTCATGTACATCGGTCAATAAATACCAAAGTTATCAGCCAGAAACAGAAATTGTGGACGGACAGACAGACAGACAGACAGAGATTACTATAGGGCACCCGTATCTTCGATACGGGGCCCTAATTATGTAGTACAAGTTGCTGTCCTCTAAAAACGGACAGCAATATGTAGGCTGGGGAAATTGGTTAATGATGAACTGAGAAGCGAGTGTTTTGTTCTAGAAAGTATCAGGCATTAAGATAGCGGTATACAAGGAGTACATCGGTATGGTAATACGTTTTATTGTGATACAACATGATACAGAGTACAACATTAGAAAATAGAACAGGAAATGTTGATTGTTATGGTAAATAGAACAGGAAATGTTGATTGTTATGGTAAATAGAACAGGAAATGTTGATTGTTATGGTAAATAGAACAGAAAATGTTGATTGTTATGGTAAATTGAATAGGAAATGGGTATTTGGTTTTTTTCCACTTTGGAGTGTATATTTTGCAGCTATACCAAGAAATGGTTAATCGAAGACAATGAATGAAAATGAAGATTAAAATGTAAATATGAACAAAGATGTGGTCAGTTACACATAACTACAAAAAGGAAGGCTGCTTAAAACAATGATATTGATTTTTTTGTTCAATTCTAAAACAGTAATAAAGTTGCTGTTCAATTTTAATCAATCTAATAACTTCACATTACATATGGTTAAGAACTAAGGGAATATTAAGAGGAGTATACGGGTATAGTCATTTCGCTATCAGTAATAATATTTTAATGATACAGAACTGTATTCCGAAGGAAGAGGCATGGTTTTTGACACAATTCATTTTATTTAGTAGCATGAACTTTTTTGTCAATTTATTCATACCCGTTATCAAGGAAAACAACTTTGTATGACAAGAAAACATGTTTATTGAGAAAAAAATACATGTATAATCAATCCTTCAACTGCGAAGTAATATTTTTTTTCATTTTAACAAATCTAACTACATGGCTACAAAATAAGATCAATTTAGAAATGATTATGAAGTTATAGGACGTCCCAAAGGTATAATATGAAAACACCTGCTGACTTCTTTTGGTAAGACAGACTTGTACTCATAAATTTTTTCACCATTTGCTTTCCATGGAAACAACTTATGCATCATTTCCAGCACAAGAAAATGATGCAACAGTTGATATCTGCTATAACCAAAAGCAGTATTGTCCTATTATAACTTCATAAAATGGTACAAAAATGAAGATTAACATATAATTCTAAAATGAAAAAAGCCGAGTAAATAAGGAATAAGTGAAATCCTTCAATTGTTAGGCAATTGTGTCATTTTAACAAATCTAACTACATGATAAGATAAACATAAAAACATGAATATACTTTCAGAAAACGCTGTACGCAGCTCAACTTTGGTGGGGTCAACATTTGGCCCCCACTTTGATTTCTTTTATTATTTTCCCATATGTAGATACATAAAAACGATCAATAACTGCATAAATGATTATTTATAATTACTACTAATAACCATAGTGGACCTCCTTGCATAACACCAGGTTGAGTGACGGGGGTATCCTAACAAAATAATAGATAAATATCACAGGCGAATGCTATTTTGAAAATTAATTATGATAGTGTACAGTGTATTAAATTGCTGTTATTTTGATACTAAATATGTCATATTGGTATATATGAAGTAAGCGTAGCGATACTTTTAAATTAGAAAAACATACAAAATTTTCACAAAATTTAAAATATAATCAACATTGTCAACTTCCCTATATATAGTTACAGCGGTAGTCTATGTTTTAAACTTCTTTAAAAACTTTCCATATATGTATTCTGTCTACTGAATCATTTTTATGTAATATAAAAACCGGTAAAGTACTTTATTAGCATGCCAAACATGATCAATGCCCAATTTCACATAATTATGGAGATTTGATTATCAATGTTTATTATGGTAAATACCGATACATTTTCTGTTTTTGTACCATACCAACACACTTTATTATATTACGCATGTTTTAAAGTGATGTGCAGCAGTTACAACTTATGAATATGTATTCTGCCAAAGTAATCTTTCTTCTGGAGAACTACTTAAGGTTGAGATTGTATTATAGACAACGAAATGCAATTATATTAAAACTATTATACACTTTATTTTACCCCCTGCAACAAAGTTAGAGGGTACACTGGAATCAGCTTGTCTGTCTGTGTCTGTCTGTCTGTCCGTATAAAAAAGATTGTCCGGACAACTCCTTCTAAAGTAATGGACCAATTTCAGCAAAAGTTTCCAGATATGATAATTATCACCTCAAGTTATGCATTCAGGTATTATGTTTTCGTTCTGATCCTTTTTTTACAGAGTTATGGCCCT